GTTTTGAAGCAGAGTCCTCAAGCTTCTCTAGTTAACACAGACTACCCTAGAAGATTTCTTAAAGCAGGTATTATTGGGCTCTTCTCCCATAGTTGCTCCTTGGGTGGTATGAGTTGGGACCTGAGATTGTGCATTGATGTTTAAAAAGCATTTTCTATTTTTAATTGGACACATAATAATTGTACACATTTTGGACAATATAGAGTGGTATTTCTGTACATGTACACAATGTGTAATCATCAAATCAGGAAAATTAATATATCTATGACCTCAAACATTTATCATTTCTTTGTGTTGGCAACATTCAAAATCCTTTCTTCTCACTATTTGAAACAACACCATAAATTATCGTTAACCACAGTCACTGTACAGTGCTATAGAATGCCAGAACTTATTCTTCCTATCTGGCTATAACGTTGTAGCCCTTAACCAACCTCTCCTTATTTCTATTCCCCTCAATGATTCCCAGTCTAGAAACCACTGTGGCACCTAAGGTTATGCCTTTCTAACAGGTTCTTAGGAGATGTTGCTGTTGCTAGTCTGGGAACAGTAACTTTGAGAGCCACTTTCTGAATATTATATTCTGATATCCTAAATCCATCAAGATTCACCTACAGCTAGGAATTCTGTTAATTCATGTTTGTTTGTTTTTGTTTTGAATCTCCTACTCCATTGCATAGCTTTACAAATATTTTAAGATTTTTGTCCAGGGCTAAAGACCAGAGTTACAATTGCTTATGTAATTAATGTTTGATGAATTGAAAGTAGATTACATTCCATCAGCCATAGAATTATTTTAAATTCCTTCAATGGATATCTCTTTGTCTTAACACATAAGGCAGCAGATACGGTGGCATCTATCTCTAAAAAGAGAAGATTGTGACATGGTTTTCTGGGTTGATTATGAAGATTCAGGGATCGTCAGAAACTCCAAGCAGCTGAAAGTAAAAGTTTGTGTAATTTGAAAGAGATAAAATTATGCATAGCAAGTTCTATGGGGATTTGTATGACATTTTCTAATCTCAAAATCTTTCAGGAGCTTCTTTTTGCTTCCATGCTACTTTTTCATAAATTTCATTTTGAGCTTCTATTGCCTTAACCAGAAGCTTTTATGTTTTGAACTTGGAAAGAGATTTCTGACTCCACAGGGAATTATTTTTCACACTTAACAATGTTTGATATTGTAGATAAAATGTCGTATCTTAAAAACCCCATTTTAAGTTAGCCTGCCTCTGTGACTGAATGGTCTTTGAAATTAACAAGAATGTGATAAGGAAAGAAAGCACGAGGGGACTGAAGCTTATAGGCACATTTTTACTATTTGATCATTTTGGTGAGTTTCCAAAATATATTTAGGATTTTTTTCTATTTTTAGATCCTCAATTGATATAAACTTGAAGTACCCTTGGCAGCCTTATTGCTGATACTTTTTTTGTCTGACAAAACTAAAGCAAATAGATGGTAAAATTCTCCCCTGAGTTACCCTTCAAGAATAGGTCTTCTATTCTATCCTCATTGGGGAAAATTGAAGGTTGGTTATGTGTGTATCTGCTTACTAGCTACCATCTTACATGGAACAAAGCAGGAGGAGGAAGAGGAAAAGGAGGTCTAGACTTTCTAGCCGGGGTATGACACTTTGTTACTTTTTCTCAGACCAACACAGATGAGAAAATTTACCTGTTAGTTAAAGGCACATATGACTTTACTTATACATTTTAGACTGAGGTTTAGAAATCTTCCCAAGCTAACACTTGGGAGGAGAGAAAGCAGGCGATTCACTGATTCTTATCATGAACTCTGGTGTCAGACTCAGTTGTACAGGCTTCTTACTAGATAGGATTTGAGTATTTTCAAGTCTATTTCTCCAAAATACAATTATTTTAAATAATTTCATATCTAGGCTAAAAGGAATGTTTTCTTTATGAAGCAAGGATGGGAAATGTAACTCTTTGAGCATTCAAGAAAATGAGCCCTGGGTATCTTAAAAATAAAACCAAACAAAGTGAACTTTATTAGTCTGTCTTCTGGATAAAACCTTTATCATGTTTATTCTAATGTGAAATGCTCTGCAGCATTGTAAACTAGGCAGCTCAGTTTTGACTCAGATACATTCTTTTGTACTTTGCCGTGACCTCTTTCCCCTAGTTCCTAGGAGATCGGTACTCTTAAGGAACTCTGGACTGCCCAAATTCCAGACTATTCTTGAGGCACAGGCTACAAAGTTATTTCTTCTTCTTTTTGCTTTTCTTCAGTTTTACCATCTATCTTCCTCTCTTCATTCATTAAATCAGTATGGTTGATTTCACATTGATTCTTGGATGCAACAACTTTATAAATGATTTCCAACTAAGGTAGGGAGTACTAGTGGGCAAAATCACTCCAAGAAGAACAAATACTCTTAAGAGAAAGGGAGAAGGGACTTAAATTGAAGCCAGTATAATGTGAAATGGGACTTTTCTTAGGCCTGTGTGAAATACCTCACATGGGAGTCAGAGGCAGCCTTGTGTCTAATGCAGCCTGGAACTCTGGAAAGGGTCCCATTGGGGATCCATGTGTATCTGTTATTTCTCAATTGACTCCATTTGCTTGGTCCATGTTTTCCAAAAACTAATCTAATGCAGGTTACTTAAAGCAGCGAGGTGCCTTTATTCCTGAGCCATACATTCAAAATTTAATTGTTATAAAGAGTACAAAAAAGCTCAAATTGCCTGCAAACTACAAGGGTAATTACACTGAAGAAAAGTTAATCTTTATTTAACTTTCCTAAGCTGTGTATTCACAGCACTGACAACTGTCATAACCTCCAGTTTCAGAATAAGTGGATTATTTATCTGTGATAATGGGCACATATGCTCATTAACATACTGTCACAAACAGCTGTGTTAAACGTATTATGTGTTCTGTGACATAAATAAGGTGCTCAGTGTGAGGCTGTGTTTAAAATATAGGCCCAGGGAGGAACAAAAAGGCAATAAATGCCTTTTAATATGGTTGCCTTGTCTTGAACTCTAAATTTATTTCTACCTTATTAGTGTTACTTATATGAAAATTGTAGGTATTACTCTAGTGAACTATCTTAACATTCAAGAAGGTTAGAAATTTTTCTTTATTCTCCTTCTTAGTGTTTTTCTGGCATGGTTTTCTTTTCTGGTAAAGGAGGAGATCGAGATCGTATAGACATAGGGAGGAATTTATAGTAAAATCTGCTTACCTCTCCATAAGCAGAGAGCAGAGTTCAGCTGATGGATGCCCTCAACTCATTCTAGTTCTAAGAATTTCCAAACTGATTGTTGAATTTAAAGATGATCTGATTCAACTTCCTCATTGCACAGATGAGGGGACTGAGGTTCTAAGAACTCAAAAGACATGTCAGTAATAAAGCCAGGACCTCAGGCTAGATTTCCAAACTCCCAATTTGATGTACTTTTCACTAGAATAGGCCATACTGTAATTAGTTTGGTTATTCCAAAAAGATATGTGGAGCCAAGGATCTTACCTGGCTATCAGGGAACCAGGCTGGGATCTTTATTAATATAATTTGTACTAGACTGTTATTTTGTAATTTCTATTCATTCGAGCAAGGTTCCAGATGCTCTTTTTAAGTGAGTGGCTAGTTTGGATGAAATAAGTGTATGATAGTGAGTGACAGAGTTCACAGAGCAAAGTAACAAACTTCAAACACTAGGTTTAGGAAAATTGGGTATGCGGGAATAAGGCAAATAAAACCATTAAAACCATGGAGAAACAATGAAGTCAGAAACTATTCTGCTTTACCTTCACTGGAATATTGGGTACACAGAAGTCGAAATAGTTCTGTCCATTGGGGTTTGTGGGGATCAATCTCTCAAATTCTCGACATGAGGATATTGGTTATGTGTAATTTAGGTGTTCAACCAAGAATGTTCCCAATACAAAAAAGTTAAGGAAGCTAGCAAAGTTAAGGCTGCTGTCATGAGAAAAATAAAGGCTGAAACACAATGTAGGGGGCATTTTTGAATAAATAAAATGCTGCTACAAAGTAATGAGGTTTCTGACCAGAAAATGTGCATCTCTTGTACATTTTCATATAAAGTGACTAAGAAGCAAGTAGGATTAAATAGCAGTGAGGAAATTCAGTTCAAATCTTACAGTGATTAAATATTGAAAAGACACCAAGCGATGTTGTAGAATCTCTAGCCCCAGAGATTATTCAAAATGAAATGAAAGTAATTTGACTGGAATGATTTAGGTATACACTTGTCTGAGCAAAGGGTCGGCTGAATGACCCACCCTGACACTTCTTTAAGGCCTTTAACAAGCAAGTGCTCCATCAGATGCTGCTGCCAGCACTGCCCCACACATATATTTTAATTATATTTGCTTAATCCCCTCAAGATTCTTAGACGACTCTCTATTGCACTGTTGATTCTCTGTGTTCATTTATGTTTATGAAAAAATCCAACTTAGATTACCAGGCCCATGAGAAACATTTAGATGGACATTAAGACACTGCAGGGATTCATGATTTTAGGTGGCACTTTTATTGACTTGCTTCTGCAAGGGGGATTTACCTATTTGAAAACCACCTGAGTTTTATTCTGAATAACTTTGCTGACACTGCTCCGAGTTGATTTTTATTTTTATAAAATGCTATGTCTGAGTGGGTTTGCTTAAACTTTCAGTGGATGCTATAATCTGAATAAAGGGAGATAGCCATGGTCCCCTGAATTATAGATATCACACTACTAAAGACTGCTACTCTATCTAGTTTTATTTGGAAAATATTAGTTTTTTTCCCTGTCTGAATTTTATAGTACAGATTGATAGTGATATGGTAATAACCAGGCCTAAAATTTATAGGAATTCTTAATTTCTCATAATATTACTTTTGGATCCAATTGTTTCATTAGTTTTGGTGACCTCAGCTGGGTACTTTTTCACTTGTTCAACACCATATCCATGCTTTTTTGAAAAAGTTTTGTAAAGAAAAGGCAGAGAAACCAAGCTTGAGATTTATTTGACTATATGGCCATATTTCCCTTTTCTCTCTTGTTCCAGGGTTCCAAATTAAAGCCTTCACAGCACTGCGCTTCCTCTCAGAACCTTCTGATGCTATCACGATGCGGGGAGGCAGCGTCCTTCTAGGCTGTTCCGCGGAGTCTGACCGAGGAGTTCCAGTGATCAAGTGGAAGAAGGATGGCATCCATCTAGCCTTGGGAATGGATGAACGGAAGCAGCAACTTGCGAATGGGTCTCTGTTGATACAAAACGTATTTCACTCCAGACACCACAAGCCAGATGAAGGACTTTACCAATGTGAGGCGTCTTTAGGAGATTCTGGATCCATTATTAGTCGGACTGCAAAAGTCGCAGTAGCAGGTAAGTGGATTCTTCCTTCTCATCCTCCTCCTTCTTAATCTCTTCCTTATATTACTTTTGGGGGATTAGAAACTAGTCTTTGCAAAAATAACATTTTAAGTTTTTTTAATGGACAAATAATAATTGTAGATTATAAGGAGTACAGTGTCCCATTGTAATAGATATGTACATTGTGAAATGATTGCATCAAGCTAATTAACACATCTACTGTCTTATAGACTTGTCATTTGTTTTTGGTGACAGCATTTAAAAAGTATTCCTTTTAGCAATTTTGAAATGTACATCACGTTGTTATTAACTATGGCCGTGGTGCTGCGAGGTAGATCTCAAAAATCTATTCTCTCTTCTAACTGAAACTTTATACCTTTTTACCAGCATCTCCCCTTTCTCCACCACCCTCACTCTTCCAGGCCTCTGGTAACCCCCATTCTACCCTCTGCTTCTATGAATGTGAGGTTTTTAGATTCCACGGATATGTGAGATCACGCAGTATTTTTCTGTCAGTGCCTGGCTAATTTCATTTAGCCTAATATGCTCCATGTTAGAAGTTCTCTATGTTGTAATCAATAACAGGATTTCCTTCTACTTATTAGGGCCAAAGAATATTTCATTGTGTCTATATCTATCTCACATTGTCTTTATCTATTTATCCGTTGATTGAAACTTAGGTTGAGTCCGTACCTTGGCTATTATTAATAGTGCCGTTGTGCACATGGGAGTATAAATTTCTCTTCCCCGCACTAACATCAACTTCTTTGGATATATACCCAGACATGCTATATGCTGCGTCGTATGGTGGTTCTACTTATAGTTTTGAGAGGAAACCTCATACTGTTTCCCACACTGGCTACATTGATTTCCATTCCTATCATCAATGTACATTTTTAAGAAAAAGGGAAACATGTAAAGAACTTCATGTTTCTTCCTTCCTGATCTTGACTGAGTTTTTTTTTCTTACATTAGCTTAGAAAATAGTAGAAGGAACTCAACCATCAGCATAGCACTCTGAGGTTTTAAAAAACAAGGCTGTCTCAAGTGGTTTATTCTTATATCTAAGGGAGGACTTTTCATTAGTAGAAAAATAATTTGCTAATTAATTTCACTTTTCAGTTTTATTAATACTAAACTTTTGCACAATTTATTTTGCCTTCAGAGCAGTGAAGTTTGTTTTATTACAATGCCATGACCTACAACATATAGATCTCAAGTGAGAAAAATTTCCACTAGCACTTTCAAATGTCTCAATGCTTGGTAACACGTTGGTTCAACAACTGAGTAAAGAGATGAAGAGTTTTTCTTTTTATCTGGCTACACTGAAGTCATGTAGACCCTGGCAAAATGGTATTGGATATTCTGGAATCCATGATATTGCTATTTCTTCCCAAAAGAAAGAGTTCAGGTCAGAAGGCAGCTTTAGTTATTTCTTTTGGCCCTTATAATATCAGACTTGTAGGGGAGATTAATCAGATTTATACTTATTTCCATAATGATTTAACTAAAAGCTGGCTTGTGATTTAGTTATTTTTTTTTTTTTAATTTTGGCATGGACCATAAAACAAGGCAAAGGAATCCAATCTGAAATAAATTTAAGCTGTCAAATGAGTCAATAGATTTGAAGAGCTACTTTCATCTTAACCTTTAGTTCTCAGTAGAAGGAAGGAAAGAAGGAGGGAGGGAGGGAGGAAGAAAAGAAGGAAGAAATAAAAAGTCAAAAGCAAACAAAAAAGGAACTAATAGGCTGTTATTTAGTTACTTTTTCCCAGATCCCATTTAATCTAGGGTCATTCTGAAACTCTGATCAGAATGAGAACATATTTTCATCAATAACAGCAACTGGGAGAATCAGGTAGGACCACCAGTCCTCATAGACTCCCCTCGTGATGGTTCAAGAAAGTTATTTATAACCTGAAAGAAGTGGTTTTATCAGGTGGTGCTATAAAGAATTCAGTCTCCTAAATATGCACTCAGTCCCCAAGTCCAGCTTCAACTCTCTCTTTTGTGGCTTCTTTTCCTCACTAAGGCCTCTTTTGTAGACAGGAAGTTTTGTCTCCTGCAAAATATTGAAATTCTAAGCCCTGATGGAATGGCATAGTATTAAGAGGTGGGGCTTTCGGGAGGTGATTAGGTTGAAAGGATGGAGCCCTTATGAATGTGAGTAGTGCCCTTATAAGAAGGACTTCTGCCACCACTTGCTATTTCCACTATTTGAGCCTAGAACATGAACTCAGGGGTCTACAAACCAAAGGAGGCCCCTCACCAGACACCATTCACACTGGGTCTTTGATGTCAGGCTTCCAACCTCCAGGGCTCTGAGTAATAAATGTCTCTTATTTTTAGGCCCCTATAGCAGCCCAAAGTCAGATTCTTTTATAGTCAGTTAAATTAGATTTCACCTCAGCAAACATGGCCTATCTTCAGCTGCTAAAGGCAGAGATGCAGCAAATGAGGTTTATCCTGGACTGACCTGGTTTAAGCACTTGAAAATCTTATGCTCTGGGAAGCCCCTCTGTGCCAGTTCAAAACTAGGACGGCTGATCCTGATCATGAAAACCAAGGCTGTAATCTATGAGGGACCTTAGCGAGATAGGGTCTGAAATTTGACTGATGAGTATGACATGTAGAGAGGACTGAAAGTTAATGCTAATTACGAATGAATAAGAGGAACCAGTGAAATATGAACTATAGATTAGGTAAAAGTTTCTCGGATGCTCCAGATAAAGTGGAAAGGGTGCAAGTTGACCTGACATTTGAAAATTTCTGGACTTGCAGATGTGCAAGCTGACCACACCAGCAAAGCGGTCCTGCAAACTGGAGCTGACCAGGCTGGCCAGTTGCTGCCTTATTACAGAAGGCAGCTGCATGGGCGCTGTTAGTGAAACGGCCGATGCGTTGCCGTTCAGGTTCCCTACAATCTGGTTGCACTTTTATGCGTTCTTTCTTTCAGTGGTGAAATGAAGAAAGATTCCTTCTCTGTGAGATAGGATAATAAAGTGGCTTGGGCTTTAGTATTCTGTAGGAGGATAGGCTCACAGATTCACTCACTGAGTTACAATCTAATATTAGATTGTATCATTTCAAGGCAATAAGGCTGTTCACAGCATTTTAAACACTTGCCATGCTGTTTGGCAACACAGAATACATCAATGTTATGTCTGCCGAGGTTAAGATTGCCCAACCACTACAATTCACAAGGGGCATATATCTCCCTTGTAATAAAGACCATGGACCTGATTTAATCTCATTTTAAAGCATTAGCAGTCAATAAACCAGTCACCACTAAAAGTTAACAGTCAGTTTTGCTTGGCTGAAGAAAAAAATTCCATTCTGTACCCTCAGGTGCAACGTAGGGCCCATTTAATATAATCCCCCTTACATTTTTGCTTTCTCAAAGTATATTTTGATAAAAAGATGTGTGGCAAATGAAATCTGTCTTTAATCAGTCAGCGCATTTTATGCAAGGATCTTACCGTGGCCCATTCATTCTGTTTTCTAGGAACTTCTCGAGTGCTCTTTAAAGCCCGAGTGCACACTTGGCGGGAGTAGGAAGGGGAGTAGGAAAGAGAAACGAAGGGCTGCCATCCCATAGAACGTCTTGTTAGAAGTTGCCACGCAAAAAGCCATTGACTGTCAGTTTTCCTGGTTATTCTGAGTTCTACAACCAGTAATGAGTGCTTGTTGTATTAAATCTGCATTTGATGGCAACTTGACCATCCTGGCTAAACTTAGGAATATATGTTTTTTATCCAATGAGCTCTAATGTAAAAGGCAGCACTTCTCTGCTCTGTGGACCTCTGTTTGGCCCACTAGATTGAGGAGAGAAGCAGAGCTGGGCGTTATGTGTCTACACAGCTTCCCTGTCACCCCGCCCCCACTCTGCATCTAGTAAGCATCCGTCATGTCAGACATGGTAGTAGGCTTTTGTCTCAGCAATAAAGACTAGGGCTTTAGGCCGCATATGGAGAACTCTGAGCCGTTGCATCCTCCTCTACTTCTGCCCTTCTCTTCTCTCTTCTTCATCTTCTTCCTTCTCCTCACCCTCTTCTCTTCCATCATCACTAGACTTGACCAGTTGAGTTAAACTTACTTACATCTGTACATATATACACATATTCTTGATGGACTGAGTTATCATAATCTGCTTTATATCACAATAGTCTATGTCAGGGGCCTCTGAGCCCCTCAAGCTGTTCAGTAGACCTGGTCTGATTCACTCAGCAGAACTAGCAGGTTTGGTCCAAGATGAAAGCAAGGTATGGGGGGCGGGGGACTAAGGCAGCTGGGACTCCAATGCAGCAGAAGCGTGAAAGCGGAGATGCCACAGGAAGGCAGTGTAAGTGTCTTTTCTCTTACACATAAGTCCTCCTGCAGTTATCAGTGTGGCTTCTCACTGCTTCCCCCCCACTCCCCGGGTCCTTAGATATTCTTATCTACTTCTCACTGGTCACAGATGACCTCAGTTGTCAAATGAGAACACATTCTTGCTCTTTTCAGCCATAATTGTGACCTGTTATTTTCCAACAGGTATGTCATGCTGGCTGTTAGTCTTGTGATGTTTGTGGCATTCGTTCTGTGCCCTGTTCTGTAACCGTAACTGTTTCCTCAGTTTGCGTCATAGCTGGAAATGGCACTTTGTGTATGTCCAGCACCTACGCAGACGAGTGAGTCACGAGGTTCTCCACTCCTTGTTTGCTGCTGTTTGCTGCAGGGCCCTTTTTAACTTCCTATATAGGACGCCAGACTTTTCTCCTACTTGCCCGTGGCTGCTTTCTATCTCCCATCAGTCTGCAAAGTAATTCCTTGTTCAAAACTTTGGGATTAGAAAATGGGCTATGCTGACATATTCATATGCCAGTTAAACAAAGAGAAGGTGAGTGCTATTTAGTCACTCCTTGCCTGCCCCTTAACATCCACATGAACTTGCATCTGGCCAAGCACATCTCTGCTACTCCAGATGTGGCCAGCTATCTGAGCCTCTGAATTTTCTTCAGTTCAACAATAAC